GAACAGAATCATGTATTATTAGAAGCCAAAGTACAGAGAGGAGGAACTTGTTAGAAGCATTTCATCATCTTCAGACAGATTCCATAGCTCTAGCAGCCTCTCTGCTACACCCCGCAGCAACACCTGAGTATCCAATCCAGTCCACCATTAGAAACTGATAAGACAATGTACATTACAGGTTCCTAATAGTGCAAAATAAAGCCACTAGTCCAACAACCATCAAATTTCTAACATCTCCAGTAATCTTCAGAAATTGAACCAAACAAACCAATGTACATTACAGGTTCCTAATAGTGCAAAATAAAGCCACTAGTCCAACAACCATCAAATTTCTAACATCTGCAGTAATCTTCAGAAATTGAACCAAACAAACCATTAGAAGAAACATGAAAAATAACTGAAGGTTCATTGTGCACTTAGTCACATTCTACAAATTTTGTAAACAGGGTGCAAAAGGAACAAGTGGTCCACAGTTTCTGTAGCACTACGAAACATAAATATATTTGAAGAAGCTAAACGAAGCTAAACTTCACAGCTCATGCATCACTGAAAGAAATACGATCGATCTCAATATTCAGTGTGCACTTAACCATACGCCAGAAATATTCAGCTTCCATATCACTTATTCCCATGAATAGATTTATTTAGCTCAAGACTATTACTGCTTCTTCCTAACTGAAAATCCATAAAAGCAAAAACAAGAAAGCTGAAAACGTGGCGCAATTCATTGCATCCGGATGGACGGTGGGGTCCAGAGGGAGGCGCAGTTGGACGGCGCTGTGCATCGTAGGCAATTACTCACGTACGTTTTTTGGGGGGCTGCATTCAACGAGACTTTCCCTGCTGCAACATAAAAGAGCCGTCCAAACGCATCCAGTCATCGCGCCAAACGGTGCCAAACCTTGCATACTACATTGACCAATCCAAAAAATGGCAGGTTTCAATACCAGCATGAGGGCAACGCAGCATGGAACTCTTGCTATAAATGACTGGAAGTAGACCCTGTAGCTGATTACCAAAAATGGTTCCTGTCGCCCTCTGCCGTAGAAGAAAGGAGCCGCTGCTATCGCCCTCAAATGCACTGACATGTCAGCCGCTAGGCTTCCATACAGGGTGTACACTAGCATAAAGTACCGCTCAAACCTTTCCTCTTCGGTCATGGCGAAAATCAACAATTCAGAAATTCGGAACCTTATCCACAAAAAGTGCGGATCTCAAAGAGCATCAACGGTTCCGATAGCACACACTCTAGTTGTTGTTGATAGCAAATCCATGCTCTCTCTCTCTCTCTCTCTCTCTCTATATATATATATATATATATATATATATATATATATATATATATATATATATAAACACTATTCTGATCACAACCTGAACTGCATAAGTAACGCGCCTGGACTTCTTTGTGTACGAACCCGACCTTTAGGCTATCTTCGCAACTGTGGCTTCCCCCGTGATTTATTCTTATTAGTCGTGTTCTATATGATGTTAGTGTAATCTAGAACCGTTTTTAGCAACTAAATACCGGTTTTAAATATGAATCTCGCTCATTAGAGGATTTTTCTCTCGGATCATGATGAAATTGCGTTTTTTGCAATTTTACTGCCTGAGTTGTTCGACCTAAACTTCTCCTAGTGCTAGGTTGAACTTCCGTCAACATTACCCAAATAGGGCTTGCGATATACCGTTGGAAAGCTATGGACACCAGTATCATGACCCAAGTTAAATGTTTGGCAAAATGTAAGTGGTTTAAGAGTAGTTTTGAAAACCGTTTTTTCTTCATACAAAAAACGTGAATCGTATTTTCGATCACATTTCTAAACCGTTTGTTGGGATGAGGCAAATAATATGGCGTTGGAAAGCTGCTTCAAAACCGCTCCTTCCACATGTTGAAAGTTTTCTCTAATTCCCAATGGTTAAAGAGTAATTTGGAAAACCGTAAAATTTCACAAACCGAACGGCCAAGTTCGTATTTTTAATGTCATTTCTAAATGTCCAATCCAATTGAGGCAAATAATATGGCGTTAGAAAGCTTATGAAAATGCGCTACTTTTTCATGTAGAAAGTGCTTTCTAATTTTGAACGGTTTAAAAGTAATTTAGAAAACGATACAAGTTCCACCAAGTTCGTATTTTTTATCTAATTTTTTAACCGTACGTCCGAATGCATCAAATGATACGGCGTTGGAAAGCTTGAGGAAATGTGAAACTTTTTTCTATATATTGTTTCTCCCAATTCCTTACTGTTTTAAGTCAATTTTAAAAATGGCTAAACACGTATTTTCGCTGTAATTTGTACAAACTTTACCGGAATGAGGCAAATAATATACCGTTGGAAAGCTAAGAAAAATGCGAAACTTTTTCATGTTGATGATTTTCTATGATTCCTAGTCGTTTTCAAGTAATTTTGAAAATGGCGAGATCACTCGTTCTGCCTTTATCGCTAAATAGTTTCTTCGAAAATGCACCGCGTGAAGAACGTGAACTTCTCGACATGTCTACTTGAACTTCACTCTATTTTTCATGTGCTTTTTTTTGCTCGTAGATCTTCATCCACTTCTCGTAGATCTCCATCCACTCACCGGAATTGAGCAAGTAATATATCGGTGAAAAGCTGTTGTAAACATGCAATTTTCCCGTGTTGATCATTTTTCCATACTCGCGATGGTTTTAAAAAAATTTCATCTCAAATTCATTCACTATAGTAGTCGAAGTCCTTGCTGTTTTCACATTGAACTTCTGTGATGTATTTTCGGTAATTTTCTCATTCATTTCGTGAGTGTTACACAAATGATATTCTTTTTGTACAATCCTCTCTCACAATATTTTTTTTAACTTTCTCCGATCGAGGACTTGAAGTTACAAAAATGATATTCCTGCCGTTTTGAAGTAAATTAGAGAAATGACGAGATCATGATTTCTGCCTTCATTGCGAATGGAAACGCACTACGCGAAGTAGTTGAACTTCTCGGGCATGTCTATTTGAATTTCACTCTGTTTTGACGTTCTGTTTTTTGCCCGTAACTCCAAAATCACTTACTGGAATTGAGAAAATGATATACCGATGGAAAGTTGTTGAAAACACACAGCTTTTTCGTGTTGATCAGTTTTTCATACTCGCGACGGTTCAAAATATTTCTTGAATGGGTAAAAATGTGTTTTTAATAGTATACATAAAAATTTTAAACCATTCATTGGAATATAGCATATAATATACGGTTGGAAAGCTTATGAATAGGAGCATCTTTTTCATGTAGACGAACGTTACAAATTTTTGTCATTTGAGAGTAGATTTAAACTTCTTGGTTTTATCCTCTAGTAATGAGAAACCTGATTTTTCTTGGTTTTATTCTTTTAATAATGAGAAAAATCTGATTTTTTATAGATGTTGAACTTCACCATTTTTAAAGTTTGAAGTTCCTACTTTTATTGGTTAGTAACAGGAAAAATCCTATTATTTTATAAAAAATGAACCACACCGTTATTTTAATTTGAACATCTAGTTTTTTTTAGAAATGGGAAAATTCTTTTTATGGAGTTCTTGAACTGGCATGTTAATTGAATTTTAACTTCTTGTTTTTTATTTGTTTTTCCACCATGAATTACTCAAGTCTACACCGTTGAAATTTTCTTCTCTACACATCATGTCTCTTGAGTCTCTACTTTTAAATCCGCCCCCCTTGAATTTTTAAAGTTTTTGTTACATGAAATAAGCAAGTTTGTTCTTTTTTGTGCCTAAATATTTTGTATTCTTTGAAAATTCTCTCGTAGCTCCCTCTGAACTTCTACACATATCTCATGAATGTTCCCTAGTTTTTTAACCTTTTCTGTTTATTTTTTTAACTCTAGGATTAGTGGGGTTTTTGTTGAACTTTGCTGGTTTTCATTTTTAGACTCGAAGGGGTTGTCATATCAACTAATATTTTTTATCATTCCTCTTGAGCATCTTTTTTATGAACTTCTAGTGTTGACGCACGCACCAAACTTTGGGAACTCCTCGTTCTTTTATTTTTGAACTTTTTTCAGCAACAATAATACTTGAACTTCACTGACTTTTTTTATGAAGCAACCAAATGCGGACACCACACAGGGAAGAGGGCACATTTTCTTTCATTGTGGACATTTTATAAAAACACGGGGAGAGCACACAATCACAAAGAGGAAAATAAAGGAGAAATTATGCATTTTTCTTTGTTTTTTGCTCATACATAGAAAATGTGTGTATCCACATTTTTAAATTTTCTATGTTCTTTCTTTGATCTACATGACAGAAAATAGTCTTTTTCAATTCGGTGTACTACACACACGCACAACATATCCACATTTTTTAGGCTGACATCAACTGAAAAAGGTTTCAGTCTCACAAGCATACACAAATCAAACTTCCATGAATTTCTATACTTTTTACCAAAAAAAATTGTGAGAACTTTGATAACCTTTTGCCCACAAAACAATGGAAGCTAAGTGACCTGATGCCTGTAATTCTTATCTCCTGCCAGCGACCCACGACCTGTACGTGTTCCTCTCTGGGAACAACAACGATGGATTGGAGTCTGAAGCATGCCGTGAAGGCGTGAACTATTATGTTAACTCCCAAGTGGATAATCAACAGTTAGAATTTGGACCGATCTATCGATCATTCCTAAAACAAGTCCAAATTAGGTTGTTACAGTCTGAGACTCGATTAGGAAACTTCATCGTGAGAGAGTGGTGCTCTGTTGGCGAAAGAAACAACAGACGATGCTACTCGAGGGGCAATGGAAAGGACAACCAAATAGTAGACGATGGTTGCAGTTTGAAAGTAATCTTGATCTTCAACACTGACAGAATCTTATAACTTGGAGATTCAACTGTGTGTATTAGACAAAAGAATCATCAGAGGCGTCAAAATCTGAGCTCTGAAAAACTACTACATTAAACTAGCTAGTACTTCATTTACTTCTGAACCTTGAAACAAACACAAAAGACTTGCCTGAACCTACTGCAAACCAAATTGTTTTAGCTTACTTCTGAAACCCGACCATAATAAAAGTGCAGTAAATTCCTCTTGAAACAATCTATCCATACTGAAAAACAAGGGCAGCTAGTTAGCTTGGTTGCAGTCTGGAACAAACAATCATAATTACTCTTCTATTTTATTTAGTGAAACCTGTTCATTCAGAAACCTCACAAGGCAAAAAGATTGTCCGATCCCTGTGGATGCAGCCCAAGAATAAAAATACATAAGCGACCAGCGAAGTAAGGAGCTCCAGACACCAAGTACGCAGCAAAATAAATGTCAGGATCACTGGGACTACCAGCGAACCTACTATCCAACCGCTCGCAAAGAGTCCAAGCCTGCAAGTATAGAGGAGGATTAAACACCCTATATGTGTGCGACTAATAATGACCAAGGGAGTACTCGTATGTATGTTTCTATGCAGGTGCTAACTAACCCTGTAGCAGACGCCCTGCCAAGGTTTTTCATCTTGTCATTGAGAAAGTATATGCATGAGACTAGTGCCAGTGCAAGCTGCAACACAAAATCATCAATGTTCAAAAGATTGTTAGAACCAGCGAGATCTACCATTGGCATTGAAGGCTTAATCTATCTTATAGGTATATTTTCTGCCTAATGGTTGCGCAAGAGAAATAAACAAGTCTTGGGCTGTAAGTAATGTCTAACAGGTTCAATGCTTAGGAAAAAGGGATTGCTGAATAGGTTGGGAGAATCATTACAAGCATATATACCTGGAAGGTAGGTCCGGTCTCAGCAGAGGTTGCGATGCTCCACCCAGCAATAAAGCCGAAGAAATCGAATCTTTTTGACATGACATCCATCGATGGCACCTCGAAGTGTCCGAGCAATGTCTTAACCCATGACGGGCGATGCACATTGGTGAATAGGAGAAGGAAGAATGGTGATGCTGGTGAAGGTCGGATTCGGTCGTTGCTGCAGTCCACACACGACAATAATCTCGGCTGTTTGCGGCCACGTGGTCAACAACGAGCGGAATGCAGCACTCCACACATCTCTCCGTGACCGGATGCCCACACCTGCATCGATTTCACAAGGCAAAATAAAGAGTTTGTGATCAGAGCTGCATCGACGAACATGGTTAGGCACCCGCGACACAATCGAGTTTCAGATTTTCAGTTAGAGCATCTCTTGTTGTCTGCTAGAGCAGTGTGCAGAGTTTCAGTTTCACAGTTTTTGAGCTCGGTGCCTACTGATTTAGGCTAACAACCATCTAAGAATTATGTAAAAGTAACAAACAGTAGTACCAGTTTCTAGACAAACTATTTACTAAGCTGAAGGAATATATGCATAGTCTAATTTTCAGGACAAAATCACTACGTATGAAACAAACAGAAGTTCAGAAGAAGCTGGGCACAAGTGCAGAACATGAAGAACACTCGCCTCCTGAAGATATTGGAGGAGCATTTTCATAGGAGTGGACACTGTGTTTTTTGGCGCGGGGGCCCTGTTTTGCCACGAGTCACGCGACTATGGACAGGAGTGGAGGCGAATCCCAGTGGATCTGTAGCTGGTTGTGCCATCGCTGGTCACGGGTGGTCGCGGATGCTGGAGAGAAGGCGATGGCGGGAGGCACACCGGGGCCGGGGTTGCGGCGGTGGGAGACGTGCCGGAGCCAGGGCGATGGGTGGCACGCCGGAGCAAGGGGCGGCGGCGGAAGGCAGCCTGGTTGCATGCCGGAGGTTGGGGCAGTGGCGTTTGGAGGTTGGGGAAGCGCGGTGGAGGGGAGCGGCGGCACCAGGAGGCAGGGGAAGTGGGCACGGCGGCGCCGGGAGGTAGGGGAAGTGGGGAGCGGCGGTGCTAGGAGATCGAGGAGCGGGGAGAGATGCACGGCGCTGGCGCCTGGCAGCAGAGAGATCGGGGGAAGGTTGAGGATCGGGGGAGGTGGTGGACGGGGAGTGTTTTTTTTCTACACAGGTTGGGGGAGTTCGGGAACTAGTCCATCGGGTCCTATATAGGCGACCGTGATCCAAATAACTATTCTAATCCTGGAAGCTAGCCTATGATTATGATTGTTGTTGTCCTATAAACTAAACCCTCCGGTTTATATAGACACCGGAGAGGGCTAGGGTTACACAGAGTCGGTTACAAGGGAGTAGATCTACATAACCGAATTGTCAGGCTTGCCTTCCATGCAAAGGAGAGACCCACCCGGACACAGGACGAAGTCTTCAATCTTGTATCTTCATAGTCCAACAGTCCGGCCAAAGGATATAGTCCGGCTATCCGGGGACCCCCTAATCCAGGACTCCCTCAGTAGCCCTGAACCAGGCTTCAATGACGATGAGTCCGGCGCGCAGATTGTCTTCGGCATTGTAAGGCGGGTTCTTCTCCAAATTCTGAATACCTGTCGAGTAGTGTTCGGCTTCCCATGAATGTTCCACTCCTTGGCTTCTGCACCTAATAATGGCTATCCTCCATGTGTTGAGCGAATGCGAGAAGTCGGGGCATTTTTACACTTGCCACCCTAACCATGTGAGTAAATCGTCTATTTAAAGAGACGGGAATCCTCAGATCCAGACCACACCATCCTCCCACAGCGAGTATCCATCGGAGCGCGCCCGAAAAAGTCCATCCCATCATGGCCGGCCATCGCAGCTCCTCCTCTCGCTCCCGTAGCCCTAAGCCAAGCAATTGGAAGAAGTGTTCTGTCCCCCACAGCCAATTAGTAGAGTTACAGACTCAGGGGTTTCTCCCTCCAGCGTATATGGTCCCCGTTCGAGCCGGACTTGCCACTTACAACGGCGGGGAGCAAGCGGAGAGCTTTCCCAGCCCATCCATGGGGGAACGGGTATGCCTTGTCCCTTACTTATTAAGGGGGCTTGGATTTCCAATCCATCCGTTCCTCCGCGGGCTCCTGGAGTTCTACGGCCTCCAGCTGCATAACTTTACTCCCGCCTCCATATTACACATCGCTGGCTACGTCGCCCTTTGCGATCTGTTCTTGGGCTACGAAGCTCATTTCGAGCTATGAAAGAGGCTATTCTGCCTTGTACCCCGTACACAAGAGGGGTCAATATATCAAGTGGGCGGAGCCGAGATATGGCGCATCGCCGGGACCGGATACCTGTCCGGTACTCCGAAGAAGACATCCGAAGACTGGCATTTGGAGTGGTTTTATATGGAGGACGTCCCCCTTTCGGACCCTATTCGGATGGGCCTTCCTGAGTTCAATAACGCCACTTTGAAGAAACGCCGCAGCTGGTGCCCTCGGAGCCTCCAGGAGGAAGTTAACAGAGAGGTCCTTTACCTGATGGGTCGGATAAAAATGCTGGCCAAATCAGGATTGACAATAATCGAGGTTATGTCAATATGTATAATGCGGGGGTGTAGCCACTTCAATATCGGGGACAACCCATGTGGCACTTTAATGGAGAAGACGATGCCACCCGCTGCGGTCGTAAGGGTCCGGACTCCGTCGCTGCTCTAGCGAAAATACTGTCCGATTTATATAAAGGAGAGGAAGAGGAGTTCATCCGCATTAAGCCACGGGATAGATTCTCCATGTACAACCCCCCAAACTGGGTGAGCTGCTACTTTCTACTCCAGACCTTCCCGCATTCTTTGTCATAAGTATAGTTCTTGCTATTTCATAGCAGGAACTACGAAAAGCTGTGAGGAAGGTCCACAGCCCGTCTCCACAACCAGAGGCCCCTGACCGGGCCCTCGACCCCAGACTCGAAGAAGATCTAGACACATTTGTGGAGCTCATTGATAGGACGTTCTATCAGTTAAGCTGCAACGGTGCCTTGGTGGCCATCATAGCCGATTATCCTGGACTGCTCCGTGCATCGCATGTAAGTAAAACAAGAGTCCCAACTTCCGAGAAGGATCCCTTTTTTCGCACTTCACCTACCGCACACATATGGTGTCTTATAGGGAAGGCCCTCGGGACGCCATGCCGAACCCGCAGTGACTCACCAACAAAGGGCACCGAAGCCGGGTATGCTTAAAAGGAAGGTGGTCAGGACTGAGACGCTGTCGCAGAGGTATGAAAAAGAACCCCGCTCCGTGGTTGTTGTCTTTTAAAACATAATAACGTCCATGGTTCCTGGCAGGAAAAACGCCCGCCGGACCATATCCGGAGAGCATGCTGGCCAAGCATCCACCAGTCGGGCTCTAGAGCCGGACTTAGAGGCAGACGCTAACGTGGGGCCAACACTGGATGTTCCTCCTACAGAGGATGCGGATAGGCTGTCTGCTACGAATTCCGAAGTGGAGAGTGCCATGAATCACAGGCGTCGCCGGGCCATACTCCGCGATGCTTGTTTCTCTCAAGAGGCGTTCGATGCCTTCAACTCAGGAGACGCGTACATCTGAGCTGCTCAAAATGGTCTTGCCCGAGCCACGGACCGATATGTAAAGGATATACGGGTAAGAAAATCTAATAATTATGTATATCAGTAGCCCCTGAGACTTGAAACAGTTGGCACAACTGATTTAAGGATCATTGTTTGCGTAGGTCCTTACGGAGAAGAATACCCAATTGTCTCAAGAGCTGGAGGAGTGCAAAGCCCAGCTACGGGCCGCAGTTGCTGCAACGAAGGAGTCCGAGAAGGCCCCATGTAGCGACCCGACCCGAATGGATCAAGTCTACTGTGCTCCGGTGTCATCCCTGGATCAGTAATGCTGGCACCACACAGTACTTCGAAGGATTTATAGCAGAGTAGCAATCACACACTTATTACATCGGTGTCTCAAAAGAGAACTTATTACAATAAATATGGCTTAAGGCCATCTAATATCGATAACAGCGGAAGACTTGGAAGATAAATGGGTCCATCAACTCCAACGGCATCACTGAGTATAGAACCACGACCTAAAAGCACCTTACTCGTCGTCTGAAAAGTCTGCAACATTTAAAGTTGCAGCCCGAAAACGGGTCAGCACATGGAATATGCTGGCAAGGTAACACATAGAGAGTAATGGAATGAAACAGCTATACTATATGCATATTTGGCTGGTGGAAAGCTCTATGGTTACAATTTTGCGTAAAGCCAGTTTTTCCCTACTGCAAAGGAATAAATTTATTTAACTATCATGGTAGTTGAACATCGAGAATGGTTGACAGCATTCTGATCCCAATTAAGTGAACAATTAAATCCCAACAATATTAATTAGAAGTAACATGATGAGATTCACAGGATATTCAAGTACTAGATACTCAAGATGTCCATAATCGGGGACACGGCTAATCATGATTAGTTTATTACACTCTGCAGAGGTTTGCGCACTTTTCCCCACAGGACTAGATTGCCTCCGTTGGATTTCTCGCACTACTGGTGTTTGAGAAACGGATGACCGAGACACAGTCTTTCAGAAGCGCTAGCACCTTACGATGGATAGACCGGTACACCTACTTTCCCCTACATCTGCTAGTCTACCCTGTAAGAGTTCGCACGACTTAGTCAACTATGCCAGAGCCCATATTGGCTTGTGGCTGCACACGGAAGTTTCTAGCATGAAAGATCTTATGATCCCTTTGAGCCTGGGTGGCGGTCCAAAAGAAAACAGGCAAGTCCTGATAGACATCAGGTGCCTCAATCCACCCAGATGTGTGTTTAAGTTGCCACCTTAGATAAACCATTAAAATTATCAATCACACATCTGTCATGGATATCACTCACCCAATCCACGTCTACTAGCATAGCATGGCATAATAAGCAAATGTAGAAGTAACTCCCAAAGGTTTCATAATAAACAGGTAATAGGTACTACCTCATCTACTTCCCATCCCACAATTTAATTAGATCCTAATCCTGCAATGTGTGAGGATTGATCTAATGCAATAAAACTGGGTTGT